AATCAGCTATGAAGATGGGACAGCCCTTACCGCGCTTGTTTTTGACTCTGCACATGCAATTGGGTCTTTCATGATGATGTCAGATTGGATCTGGCAGGATGCTTTCCACTTACTACCGCAAGTTAGCAGGGTGATATGAGCATCCTCCCCACTAGGTGGTCCCCTGCATCGAAGGCTCCATCTATTTGTGGGGAGATCCACCACCTTGGAAACGGGTCGGGCAACTCATTGTAGTACATTGATTTTCTGCGACGAGTTGCTAAAGAGTATGATCCCGATTACTGTCCAATCACAGAATATTGGGATACTATACTTCCCTCTGTACCTGTATATTCCTGTTTTGACCACTAGTACCTCCAAAAGGCACGGCTGTATAGAAGCCGCGGCGCGGCTCGGATGAACGGGCCTGGACAGGAAATCTAGAATTCATTCAAGTGGAAACGATTCTGCTTTATATTCTCTGACGGCCGATATATGGCCGTCGGGGTACTGGTGGTCTTACAGCCCTAACCCCGTCCCTTAGACTGCTGTAACAGTCCTGCTTCCTACTCCCTGTAGCATTCCTCCCTTGTCCTCTTGTGTCCCTCATTTTCCGATTCTGCTTCCCTCTAGATTCCTTATCTTCTGCTTTCTTGAGTGCTATAGATCTCTGTCTCTACTAGCGGAAGTGATATTAAGGCTTCTGCTAGCAGTGCCAGTATAGTCCTTGTAGACCCTCTTGTATTGGTCAGCGCTAAGTCGAGATCTGAGCAGTGTGATCCTACTGCCGCCCTTCTATTTCGCTAACGGCTCTATGCTGGTGGGGGTGAACAACCCACCCAGATAGGAGCCTCAGAAGAGGGGATTGCACGAAGGAACGCACTTGTAGAGGAACTATTGTGGCAATGGCAGCAGAGGGCAGGTTGTCCAACAGACGGATCTACTTACACCCACCTCATGTGTTACATGCCCAGTTGGGCTATGTGTTCAGCCAAGGATCCGCAATGTGATGAAAAGGACTGAATGGACAATGTACTGCTAGTGAAACATCAACAGACAAGGTACATTCCGATACATGAAAAAATGGCATTTGATAGCATAGCGGAAGACTTTGAGATAAGTCCTGACCTGACCTGGACTGTCACGACATCCCATCATACATCACACATGTGAGAAGAAGAGGAGGGACCACATACACAGAAGAAGCTCCCTCCCTTTACACACACACGGGGAGATACCACGGATGAGAGATGGAAGGGGAGGAAGGACGAAGATGGAGGCGAGGGAGAAGACCAAGATCGCAATAGCGAAGTCCAAAATAGTCCCTTGCCGATGTCCAAACAATGCCTGCCTCAAAAAATGTCGAATCAGATCCTGGGCCACATGCCCGTTGCAACCTCTGCCTGTATCCTCTGTAAGTAACCACTCTCACTCTCGTAGTCTGCTGGTGCAGTGAAGTCAGGTAGCGAGAGGGTAAGAGAGAGATGATGAACTGAGAAGAGGAAGAAGAAAAAGTCTCTCTCTCTCTCTCTCTCTCTCTCTCTCTCTCTCTCTCTCTCTCTCTCTCTCTCTTTTCCAAGTGCCAGGTACTAACCTGTGATGATGGCGCTGTGCTGCAGGTACCTCAATGGCGAGCTGGAGCTATGGCGCTGCAGGTAAGTCTCCCTGGCCTCCGCCCAATCTCTGTCTCCCTCCAACACAACTCTACCTCCTTCTAGCGCCTAGCGCTGAAGACTACTCCCTGCCGGTAGAAGTGCACGTCGAGTGCCTGTGCAGTCTCTCTCCCCCTACCTGCAGGGCGGGCCAGTCTTATATAGTGTTGGCCCGTCCAGGAGGCTGCTCTTGCCAATGCCTGAATGTGCTAGCCCCTGGGGAAGCTTTAGGGCACAGGTCGCTGCCCGAACGTGCTTGTTTCAGGGTAGGTCTGTCTGACAAGGGACTGAGAATAGCCTTCAGTTTCAGGCTGAAAAGGCTCCGGCCCTTTTTATAGGCTGAAACGATACAGGGCCTGTGGGCCCCGGATGTCAAGCTTTCAGGCTGAACCGTCATGGGGTCTGTAGGCCCGGAAATAGCCCTCAGTTTCAGGCTGAAAAGGCTGAGGCCTTTTTTAGCTTGAAACGATACAGGGCCTGTGGGCCCCGAATTTCAGGCTTTCGGGTGACCCGTCACGGGGCCTGTAGGCCCTTATTTTCAGGCTTTCAGCCTGAACGACGCAGGGCGTGAAAAATGGCCCTCGTGTGCAGGCGCAGCATGCAACACTCTAGCACATATTGCTGCACTGGCTTCGGAAGCCCCCTCCCAAGGTAGATCCGTTAACCTGGCTGGAGGATAGGTATTGGAGAGTGCCTCGAAAGTATAGTGAGGGGGACAAGATTGCGGAATTCTGGGGACGTCTTTTGCAGACATGGAGGCAGCTCCCTATCCTAGACGGCCACCCCCTTGACCGATGGGAAGAGATCCTGAGGCAGCCTCTTTTTGGGAACCGGTGGATTACGAAATCCCAAGGTCGGACTAGCTGCAGCTCGGACCCCTTGTGGAAAGGGGTGGGTACGGCACGGGGTATTAAGAGTGGATGACCTGTGGGATAAGGGGACAAAGGACTGGAAGACACCCAGACAAATGTGGTCCAGACTGCGCTATGGTCACAAACCGGAGGTGGCACTCGAGGAGCTGATTGACAGCATCCCTCTTGCAGGGTATGCGACCCTAAGAAAAGGTCGAGGGTGGTTGAGGGGGGCTGGGTCCACCTGCGATAGTTGCAAAACCAAGTGGGCCATGTACACCTGGTGCGCCTTGAGGATGCTTTGATCAAACATTGGATTGTTGGACAGAATGGGGTCATTCAGGCAAATGGCCGACCTTTACTTTTTTTTTTTTTTTTTTTTTTAACGGAACCGTATGATTCCGGCTCCTTTTCCATTATGGGGAGCAGCAATCCGGTTCCTATTCCATTGGCAAGTCAGAAAATGTTACAAGGATATACACACTCACGCTCCTCCCCCTTGTGGTGTGGAGGTCCGAAGGACGACAGTGATTACTTCCCCGAGAAAGGATGTACCACCCTTCACCCCTGCCTAAGTTAGCCTGATTTACTGGGGATCTGGTATTTTCCTGTGTTTGGTGATAGAACACTAAAGCCTATCCTGACATTTATGTGTCCTGTCCTATCACCGGTGGTCGCATCTGTGTCTTATCCTGCTAAGGGTGGTGGGGCAGTTCTGGGCTCTTGGTTTCGCTTGAAAGGGGGATGCTGAGGAGTGGGCGGTGACTGTGGTTGGGTTTATTAGTTAGTTACGGTATAGTGGTTGTTGTATTATGGAGGGTGTGGGAGGGGGGTTAGGTGAAGGGTGAGTTGAAGGGGATTGTGGTGGTGTGGAGACGGAGAAGGGGGGGGGGGTCGCCTTAGGGGTGTTGAGTGGGGTCGGTGGGGGGCTTAGGGCTTTTTAGTGCTTTGGTTATTGGTTAGTTATGCTAGCTTGGTTTGAGGTTGGTAGTGTGTGGAATAGGGTGGGTTTTGGGGAGGCCTTATGTATGTGTTAAGGTTAGCCAATTTTTTAGGATTAGTCTATCGTTGTTGATTGTGCCAAGGAGCCCATTGCCTAATTTGGATGTTGAGAATTTTAGGATTGCTAAGTCTTTTTTGACGGGGTCAGTTGGGAGCTTTTTACGGTGTTTGTTCCAGAGGGCATGGAGTTCTGTGTCTATTAGTTGTTTGATGGTGACGAGTGGGTTTTCTGGGGTGGTGAGTGTGTCATCGAAGGTCGTGTCACATCTGTTTTTCCATATGGCCCATAGGGTGCTTTTTTTTTATTTGGGAGGAGACAAAGGCTTCGAGGCCTTTGAGTGGGGGTGATTGGTCGAGGTCGAGGAATAGTGTGGCGGGGTTGATTAATAGAGGAGAGTCTGATATTTTGAGCCATGATGTTCTTAGGGCTTGCCATAGGGATCTGGCNGCTTTCGGGCTGAACCGTCATGCGGCCTGTAGGCCCGGAAATAGCCCTCAGTTTCAGGCTGAAAAGGCTCAGGCCTTTTTTAGGCTGAAACGATAAAGGGCCTGTGGGCCCCGGATGTCAGGCTTTCGGGCTGAACCGTCATGGGGCCTGTAGGCCCAGAAATAACCCTCAGTTTCAGGCTGAAAAGGCTCAGACCTTTTTTTTGGCTGAAACGACACAGGGCCTGTGGGCCTCGGATTTCAGGCTTTCGGGCTGAACCGTCACGGGGCCTGTAGGCCCTTATTTTCAGGCTTTCAGATTGAACGACGCAGGGCCTGAAAAATGGCCCTCGTGTGCAGGCGCAGCATGCAACATCATGCTACCAACGATATATATGAGTAAATCACAGACCTGAACGTATTAGGCAAGTGTGCCCCGTCATCCCCAGGCTCTGTGGAACGACACCAGCCTCTTCGGATTGTCTGTACCTTCCATTTTTCGCATTCCATCCCTACTAGTTCTCTCCTTCACTCGATTATGTCATCATATTCCTTCCCCCCCCCCCCCCCCCCCTGAAGCATGAGAGTGCAATTATGCTGTTGTCCGGTGGCTGGAATGGACAAGAGAACTCCATGGCTGGCCTGAGGCCTCATAGGAAGGGAAACATTAAAATCAGTCCAAGCGGCAAGATTGCAGTCTCCTAGTTGTCCAGAAACTGATTACACCAAACTTGCCAGAATTTGCACTAACTTTTCCTTATGGCTTCACTTCGACCCACACCCACACTTTCTTTTACCCAACTTACTTTCCTCCCATGTGAAGAACTACAAGCAAGTCACCTGAATTGCAGGCCTCATTTCCATCTTTTTTTTCTTTTTTTTCTTTTTTTTTTCATTTGGACCATTTCTCGATTAATGCGTGTCATCCTTGAAAGCGCAGGGGCCATGCTAATCTTCTCTGTATCGTTCCAATTTTAACGGATGTTGCGAAGGACTGGCCTCATTTCCATCTAAGACTTCAGAATCTGTAAGAAGCCATTTTCTCCGAGTGAGGGATTTTAGGGTGGGGTGAGGTGTGGGAGGGGGCGCAAAAAACTGGATGCTTTTGTTGCACGTCAACATCAAATGAAGGACTACAGCCTGACCTGCACTTGGCCTTCTATGTGTCAGATGGGCACACCCCCACTTCTCTATTCATCCTCCCTAGACGCTGCAAGCTCTACGTTGCCTGCAACTTCCTCCAGTATAGCTAGAATGCCTGTGTTGGGTGCTGCCATGTCCGGCCGCTTCCGTCTGTTGTAGCTGGCGCAACGCAAACCCAAACTTGCCACTCTACGCGCCAGATCAATATCCCAACAGCCTGCATTGGGATCCAGAGCATTCTCAAAAGCATTGTCATCTTCAATGGCATCCTCAACGACTTCAAATGCATTTGTGAAATTTCCAGTCAGCATCTCCAACAGAGTAATGCCAAAGGCAAAGATATCTGTTTCCTCACTGAAAACTTGGGACTCCCAATACTCTGGAGCAACATAGTGAGAGTTATGATTTGCAACCACCCGTGAGGTCTTCTTCTCTTTGAGTGTCGTCTCGACTACTTGGGCAGGTTCTGAGTCAAGCAGAGCGAGATCGACATCACCTATCTTTGCGACAAACTTGTCGTCTAAGAAGATGTTTGTTGGTCTGATGGCGGAATGGATTATGGGTCCACCAGAGCCTAATGGATCTGAATGAAGGAAGCACAGGCCTCGAGCAACCTCTGCCATCAGGCGGAAGCGGGTATACCAAGTGCTTTGTCTTGTGCATGCAATCCAATCTTTCACTGTTCCATGTGCCATATGCTCATAAACCAGACAACCATCTTCATAGCAGACTCCTAGCGGGATCAGCATCTGGGGATGTCTGAGCAATATCAACTTATCCACTACCTCGGACTTCAACTTGTCGCGATGGATTGCCTGCGTATTTACGTCTCTCATCTTCTTTACCATAACAAGACTGTTGTCCCATAGTTTCCCGAAATACAAATGTTCATGCTCATCCCCGTGTCCACAATTATTCCACTTCACATCAAAATCATGCGTAGCAACCTGGAGATCCTTCCTTGAAAACTCCTGGAGCGCGGGAATGCACGTGTTCACGTCACCAACCGCTTTTGGAAGTCTTTGCTTCAACTCTTTAACTCTCTCGGCCAAGGCGTCCCTCTCAAACTCCAGCCAAGAGACCCTATCTGCTAGATGTCCCCGGGACTTGGTCTCTGTCGCCAATTTGTTTTCCATCTCCTGTTTTGACTCCGCAAGACTCCTCACCATTATATCCATCTCTTCCTCCAGCTCCTGTACCCGTCCTACGAGAATTCTCTCCTTTCTCTGATTCTCTTTCTGCCGCCAATTTCTTTTCCATCTCCTCCTGTTTTGACTTTGCAAGCAACCCCTTCACTGTTTCCATCTCTTCCTCCAGCTCCTGGACCCTTCCTAGTAGAAATATCTCCTTTCTTTGATGCTCTTTTCTGAAATTCTCCATCTTTGTCTCAAACTCCATCAAAGCCGTAGCTACTTTACTTTCCATCTCTGCATGATGCTTTTCGGTAAGAGATTCCATGATCTGCCTCCGCTCTTCATTTTCCAGACTTTCCCGTCCCGTGACTACATGAACTACATGGAATCCCGCGGTACCACCAAGAATGAGAATGTTGGACTTCTCACATGCTTGCATTCCCACCACCTCCCCACTCCATGGAGAGTTATAGGATAAGACTTGCTGATAGTTTGAGTCACTCCAAACTTTTATTTCTCCATCTTTTGATAAAGTGATGATATGTGGCAAGCATGGATGAAAAAAGGCTGACCGAATGGGTTGGCTATGTGCCACCCATTTTGACAGGCAGACTCCCTTCTTGTAGTCCCAAACCCGGACGCTTCCTTCTTCAGAGTGCGATGAGATCAAAAGAGACTCTCGGAGCCCTTTGCCAAATCCAATTTGTCTAATAAACCCCTTGCCGCTATCTTTCAGGGTCTGCATAACATTCCCAAACTGCAAGTTCCATACCTTGATTTCGCCATCACCCCCTCCACTTGCAAAGATCTGTGGCTCCGCTGGATGAAAGACCACTGGGAATACTGCGCGAGAATGTCCTGAGAATGTGACCTTCTCCCATTTCACACCCCACCACCATAAAGAAAAGTCCTCGTGGCGAAAGGAAGTCAATAGACAAGGAAAGGTCTGATGGACCGCCATTCCAAAGGCTCGTTTGTCGCCAGTTTCTGCAGTTAGCACCTCTAGACGCCACAACGTCGGACCTCGCTTTTCATACACCTCAAAGCTTTTCGTTCGCCTCACCACAATCCAATCTTTCTGTGCAATGAACGTAGCTTCCTTGGCATCTTCCACGCCAGGGATTGCCCAAGAGGCAACCCTAGTTCCATCCTCATAGTCCCACACCTGCAGGGACTTACCATCAGGTGTGAATATGACCCATGGCTCATGGGAATGCAGATTGATTAACAACACGTTTGCACAACCACTCGACAAAATGGCGCACCCTTTCCTTTCAAATTTTTGTACCAGTTGAAGCCCACCTATTCCATCAACATCCTCCATCATCAAAACAGTCTTGGAACTCTGATTATATGAGTTATATCCTTCCACACGCAGGGACCTGGCGTGTAACCGATTGCCAACTTCTCTCGACCTGTACAGTGTACACAACCTGATGGACAAGCGGATGGTTGACTATTCTTTCAAGGATCTGGACATTATGTCCATAATTCAAATAGCAACCCTCTGTGAACAAAGTTCTAACGCAAGCCCATAGCACTAGCTATATCATTACAGCAAGTTCAAGCTGCAATTATTCTAGTCTAAGAAGAAAATTATAGTAACTGTTCTTCACTATATATCACGAGGCGCTTCAAGTTCTTCTGAGTCTTGCCAAGAAGCTCCGTCTTCCAAAATGCGATCTCCAGCTCTCTCACCACAAAGCAATTGGAGATGACGGCTGGAAGTCGAAAAAACGTATCAATCACCAAAGTAGAGCTATGAGTATGTAACTTCCTGCCTCTTCAGCCGTGCTGTCGAGAGATGCTCGTACCACTCCCAACAATAGACCAAGCTGTCCATCCAACGAAAAAGGGAAAAATAGTAATATGTAACTTAGCGTTGAATTATTCTTACCAGTGAGGCAATGCAGTACTGTCAAATGAAAAAAAAAAAAAAAGGAAGACAAAACGGTTTGCCAACAGATAAGGCATTTTTGCGCAATCGCAGGTCAATTGCATCCCATTAGTGAGTTTTTCTCGTTATTTTTTTTTCCACAGGAAACAGGCCTGGGCCCTGGGGCCCTGCCTTCTTGTTCCTCTAGAGGGATCAGCAGTCTGACTCCTTTTCGATTATCTTAGACAAACATAGTCAACACACTTCCCCTTGCTATGGCCAGATGACCCTTGAACAATATTTTTTATTTGTACTGACTCTCACTCTGGGAGGACTAGCTGCGAGTCACATTCATACCATCACTCACAGCCCGTTGATACCTATGTCGATGGACAATAGTACGACGCTCCGTATCAGTTCAGATCTGTTCCTCTCACAGGCTGCGCCAAAAAGTCCTGCCGAACAAGAATGAGGGCCGTGGGTCGTCATTTTGGTCGAAGGGCCGAAATTGGGGTCAACGACCACGCTCAAAGCCATACAAACTGTCGAAAGAAGGCCTGCTGTTGTGGGATACCCGAAACCTGGCCTAAACTGGCCTACAGAGGCCCAACGTCCTATGGTTGACCGAAAGAAAGTCAACAGTCAACAGCAGCTCGGAAATTCAGACCCACGAGTCAAAGTCAACGCGGACCCAGTCCAGGCCACTGATCAGACACACCTTTGGCTGCGTGCAGGTGTCCGAAAGGAATCAAGTCCAAGTGGGAGTCTGCAACTGTACGGAATCCGGGCCATTGGCTGGGAGGCAATCTGGGCCATCGTATCTTAGAGACCAAAGGCTGGTCAACCGGAGTCAACACTATAAGTTGGCCCATCCCCTGCCGACCTACATTCAGTCTTCCACATGCTGCTTGACGTCGGTTTGACGCTGTCGCTGCGCTAGCTGGACGCTGGCACTACGCTGGGTCGTCGTTGGCTATATGCTGGCTTGACATTGGACGACGACGCGAGACTGCTACTGCCTGGTGTTGGCGCCTTCTCTGCCTATGGTGCCAGCTGGACACTTGCTATGCTGACGTGGCTCTACCCACACTGAGTATGACATTGATGTGATACTGGCGTGGAGGATAAGGATCAGGCTGTGAGATTGATCAATGTGGAGGAAGCTTACCTGTTTGCGTTCGTAGTCGACATTGCGCACTGTTGTCCGTCTTCAAGATGAGTGTGTGCTGATAAGGGCCATGATGAGATCAGCTCATTGTCAGAGTGTGTCAGAGGGGAATGTATGCTGATGTGGCGAGAATGAAATGGCCGAAGAAGGAGTGGGATTACGAGGGAGATCTATCTGCTATGTTGATGGTACCTTCTCTTCCACCTTCTCTGTCTTATCTCCCTCCTCCCAGCCTTTTCTCTGGTGATCAGACATTGGGCTACCCGACTATATTATGAACAATTTTTTAAGAGAATGAATTTGCGCTGAGACATTCTGTGTTCCGACATTGACGGCCTTCTCTTCAGATTGGGTTCATTGCAATTTGGTATCAAAGCGATATCCTCCACCTTCGCTATCTGTTGATGTACGTGCTATTGTGCAGTGGTAACGATTTCGCGCGCCAGATTACGTGCTTGGCAGGTTCTTGACATACCGCGTTTATAAACATGCGCGTTTCCTACCTTGCGCTTGGACGTTTGCGCGCCGGATTTTGGTCGTGTGCACGCATGTACCTGATGCTGATGATGATGTGGACCTGATATCCGTTTGCGCGATAGCACTGACGTGGCACTGGGCAACCGGCCAGATCGAGAGAGAGAGAGAGAGAGAGCTGCTTACATGGCATCGGGGAATCGCAGCCTACGTGGCATGGCGCTTTGGTGCTGACGTGGCACCTGACGCAAAAGCAGTGGGTGACATTGTCTGACGTGGCACTCACCCCCAAGTGTTGCGCGACCTACCTGCCGACGTGGCATCTTTGAAGTAGAAGCTGTATACCAGGTTGACGCGTCTGATGGAAGACGATTAGTGATCCCAGACGGATCAGGGAGACACTTGCTGCTCACGTGGATGGGCATCTCCACTCTCGACGGCCTATTGGCCATTGATATTGACGTGGCACCTCTCTTGATGACGTGTCACTTAGGCTTGATTAGAGTGTGACACGTGGCAAATGTGACGTGTACTACCATCCGAAGGAAGATCGGTGGGTATAGCTACTTGCACTTGTTAGAACTGATGGGCTACACGAGACTATGTTGTAGTGCCACGCATCAGAACTTGTGCCTGGACACAGGCATCTGCAAGAAGACAGCGAGAGAAACGATCAGCGAATACATTGATTGGTTGCTGTGTTGCTGATGAAATTTTGATACTTACCTGTCGTGGGCTGTCCTGTGGATGTCTACAAACTCACCATTGTGTTGTTGTCTTGATCACACTAGCCGCGGTTGCAGAACCTGTATAGTCTCTAGAAAACATCATCAGAAAGATAATCAGCAAAAATAGATATACAAATTAGAAGAATATGTTTCCATTTGAAATTTATTTCTATTTCTTATTCTTGCCGTGGAAATTGAAATTCGTTGTAGTATGGCCGTGAAATTTGTAACCGTCGTATGAAGTTTAGTGTGCAGCAGACACACTGGGAAAAATGACTTACCTCTTGAACTGCTTGTAATGCGAACCGTGGCCAAGTGGAAGAAAGACGACAACAGATGCTGCAGATGCTGGGTCGTCTTCACCAACTGCTCACCGAGTTGCACGACGCTGGGCCAGACGATGAGCAACATGTTCACAACAAATTCGATTTGTGTGCTGTAGAAGCCGAACTATCAAGCGCTGAAACTGTTGTGCGGATGCTGGAGACCAGTGGTAGAGTGCAAGTGATAATTGACCGGGGACGAATGACCCTCGATCAATTTGTCGCTGAGCAGTAGCCAGTGCAGAGGCCAAGGAAGAAGGAAAAGGAGAATCAAGCGCGAGGAAGGAAGAACCCGAACTAACAAAAGAGATAATGGACAACACCATTAAGCAATTTCAAGCTGCGTTAGAAGCAGAATTGAAGAAAAAGGAATCCAGCGGCCTAGCTCAGTTGGTAAGGCTTGCAAGTGGCATTCAGGGTTCAATCCCCATTGGCCTCATGCCTTCCTGGGCTTACTTGGTACCCGCTACCCAAGAGATAGACCACTGGATCCCCAGCATCAAGCAGAGTCTGCTATGTTCGTAGGGGAGGGGCCTGAGGGGAGGCACGGGGGATTGGTCCGCTTTATCCCTGGTGCTACCGGCCGTCCCCTGGCCGGTATCCTGCAGGCTCAAGGGGCCGTAAAAACACGGCTCTGGTATGCCACGGGTTTCCCCGTATGCCTATAGGTAGGAGTAGTGGTCGGTAGGTAGTGTGAGGAAAAATTGAGAGAAGAGTATAGTTTAAAAAATATATAAGAAAAAGGAAGAATATCAAAGGCAGCGAAGAGACCAAGAACAATGG